CCAAACCTAACGTCACCCCATATGGTGACTTCTAATGCGAAAAATAAATAATTACCATAATAATATTTTAACTGCAATAATAAAAGGTAAAGAACACGATACCGAGCGGGCCACGTCTGAAGGTTCGTAAATATCGAGAGATGAATTTATCACTTTAGGACCACCACTATTCGTCATAAAGTCTCTGAAAAGTGCAGCAACCCAAAAATCATGATCGAGCCCCGAATGCACGAAGAACAACGCTGTCCAGATTCTACTGCGTACCCTGAAATAGAAAACTTTCAACACGAAAAATGTCAGAAATATTATGAGGAACAAACTGCTTGAAGAGACCGTCTCCAAAAAACGCTCCACGCGCCCTCACGTGTTGTCACTCTATCTGCAAGTGGGCTTCACGCGCCGCCGTCTACGACACGCGCCGCCCTGCAGGGTTTGCCTCCTCCTGCACGTCACGCCAGTGGTCTCCGTTTTTCCAAACTCCTTCTAGATTGATCAGAAAATGCAAAAAAACGGAGACTGATTTTGACAGTTTTTGGACAGCTTCTTCGATCTGATTTCTACAACGATTTCTGGACGTTTTGGTATGTTTCACGAGTCAAAACCACCACCTTGAAACTCTGATACCAATTGTTGCGGAAGCTTTCTTGAAAGATTTTCAAATCGGTGATTTTCGTGCTCAGTCCAACACACCTTTCTCAACCAACAACCAGTCCAATCGGCTCCAAACTACAACCAATTGATCCACCTTGGTTGCTATTCAATCTTACCCACGTAGGACAAGAAAGGATGATGATTTGTGACCACAAAGGCTAGGAGAAGACACCACAAAGGTATACTATGAAGGAACCACCAATTGCACACGTTATACAAGCGTTCTGGACACTTCTGGAGACATTTTTCTCCCAGAAAGGTGGGCAGTCGGGATTCTCCTTTTCTTCTTTCAAAATCACGCAATACATCATAAGAAAGTGGCTAGGGTTATAATCATATATATACTCTAGGGTTAGGTTTTAAATTGGACCATTAAAGGAGTA